TGTGTGGGTTTAACTCTCTCTCTCTCTCTCTCTCTTTCTCTCTCTCTCTCTCTCTCTCTCTCTCTCTTTTTTTTTTTTTTCTTTCTCTCTCTCTCTCTTTTTCTCTGTGTGGGTTGGACTTTTTTTTTCCGATGAAATGCTTCTGGCATTTTTGCTTGACCGGGGTTATGCTGCAGATCCTGAGTTGGTATCCAAGGGCAGTGCTGTACCAGGGTTTTGCCAACAGCCATGTATGCGATAATATTGTGAAGTTAGCGAAGCGCCACCTGGTGCCGTCAGGGCTTGCACTAAGGAAGGGAGAGACGTCGGAGTCGACCAAAAACATACGGACAAGGTAAGGTCGGTCAGGTACTCACAGGAGGAATTTTTGGCATGCATCTGACTGCAATTACCATCCGTCCGGTATGTATCTGGTCTCATTTACGTCCACAGATGAGGTGAAATAGTCCTAGGAGGAGTACACGTTAAGAGATGATGATGATATTGCCATTCAGCCTCTGTTCTCATCTTGTGTTGGTCTTCTTCTTCTTGTGTCATTTGGAAATAATAAGAGGAGGAGGAGTTATAAGTTATAACTGGTTAGGTTTAGGGTTCCCGGATGTTTTTTTTTTTTCTTTTTTTTTTTTCTTTCGAGGAGGGGGGGAAAGGGGAAGGGGGAAGGGGGGGGTCACAAAATTTGCCAAAACCCCTAGGCAAATCACATCCCTTTTTTTTTTGCGGTGTATATCTACAAGTACTGTGACGTGACAGGCTCGTTGGTTGGTTGAATGTCAGCAATTCATGAATAATGTATACAAGCTACCTTTCTGGTCCCATACGTCATACGAATTACATCTGCTTTATTATTATTAAAAAAAAAAAAAAAAAAAGAGCACCTGCTAATACTGCAGTGACAGTAAATGCTAGCAGCCACACATTGCACTGCCATCCAACCCTTTTTTTTTTTTTTTCCCTTTTTTTAAAGGGAATTTCTCTTCATCGTCAAATGGTAGAACCAACCAAGCAGCTGGGTAAATCATGGAGCCAAGGGTGTGAACCGCGCATCTCTTCACCGTCATCATCATGTACATCCATGTGCTGGTTAAAGCATACAGTCAGGACTCAGGAGGACTGTTTGGTTGTGCCACTGACACCTGTTTCTGGTGCTGGTTTGTAACTTTGTTTTTTTTTTTGTTTTTTTTTTTTGGAAGGTTTGTAACTTTGTACCAACTGAGCTACTACCATCTTCACGCGAATAGAACGCCCAGTCATTGTCGCCGTATCTGGGCTGAAAGTTGTGCCAATACATACAGCTATAATGACCGGGCGGTCTATTCGCGTGAAGACGGTAGTAGCTCAGTTGGTACCCCCCCCCCCCCCCCCCTTCCCTCCCCCACCGCTGGACTGAACTGTTGAAACAGAGACCTGAGTTCGAAGTCCGAACTCCCCCCGAAGCAAATGAGTGAATGACTCAGAAATTCAGAATGAGTGAATTGAACTGAATTCTGAATGACATAGGGCCGGTCCGTTTGACTGATGATGATGACATCTCCTTTCTAAGGGTCGTCCCGCTTAAAAAAGAATAAAATGCTTCTGTAACTTTTCTGTTGCTGGTTTAGGGTTCAGAGACTGGGGGTAGTTAGAGTTGCTGATTTTTTTTTATTTTATTTTTTTAGGTTGCAAAAACTACTAATTACTAATAAATTAATAATTAATAATTAATAATTAATAATTAATAATTAATAGTTACTGACCCTTTTTTTTCTTTTTTTGCTCTCTCTCTAAATGACGTCTGGAAATGAATGCGTTGGATGGCATGGTATATGCAGCTCAGGCACCTTCTTATCTTCCAGTGAAGACAGTTCTGGGGCTCTGGCCTGGGTGGAGCGGAGAATTGCCGAAGTTGTCCACTTGCCCGTGGTGCATGGAGAGGTGGGTCGGTGGCTCCCTTTTTTTTTTTTTTTTTTTTATTGTTAATGCCCCGCCCCCTCTTTCTTGCCCCGACAAATTATTATTCCAATTTTTCATTCAAATGCTGAGATGAGGAAGGGGATCCTTATAAACAACCCGGAGAAGGAACAGGTACTGGAAGAATCGTACAGCTAAGCTAAGCTATATGATGGCAGCGGATAACCCTGAGGCCTTTAGCTAATCAAAAAAATATGTAAGCTAATACAGTTTAGCTCACAGCTACATTGAGCTAATACAGCTTAGCTCACAGCTTATATATATATAGCTAATACAGCTAATATAGGTAATACAGGTAATATAGGTAATACAGGTAAGCGTAAGCTAAGCCTGAGGCAGGGGATAGCTCTGAGGCCTTTAGCCAAACTAAAAAAAAACGCAGCTCTGGGCTGCTGGGGAAAAGCTATAGCTGACGACTACTACCCAACTATTTCTAGCTATTATTTATTGTGTTTTAATTTTTGAATTAGGCTACCAGAGAGGGAGAAGAGGACACCAAACGAGGGGTTGTGACAAACTGTTTCGTCAGAGTTTCTCTGACGGACTAATCAGGAGGAGGCTGAACGCTCAAAAACAGTCTGCAGAAGAATCCCCTAGTAACCTAGGCTACCAGCCGGGGCCGCCAGGGTCACCCTATTTTCCCGGGCGGCCCGGCCGTGCAAGGACTCGGGAAGGTCCCAGCCAAAAAAAAAAAAAAAAAATCAAAAAAATCCGAAAAAAAAAACTATGTTATGCAGAAAAATAAACTGAACAACTTTTGCCTCAGGGTCGTATCGAAATTCGTTACCAAATTTAATATATAAAAATTAATTTAAAAAATCATTTTAATTTTTTAATTTTTTTATTTTTTTTATTTCTTTTTGGCCCGGCCGGGCAAGTGGACCCGGGCCACTCTGGTAGCCTAGCTAGTAACGGATTACACTGAAAGTGGTAATCCACCTTCGTAACCCCAGTTGTTGGGGTTAAGCATCATCAACAACTGCCCGACAACTGATACTACCCTGAGGTGGTGGGGACCACCAACCTCTGCCCTCAAGGTACCTGTGACGAAAATCAAAGCAGGTTATCACTCACCCACACCAGATGGAAAACTCTACAGACTGTCAGTTCACACCCCATCACAAGCAACAACCAAGCAAAACACGCACGAAACAACGAAAGGTCTGTCATAGCCAAACCATACACGCCGCTGGCACTAGAGGCACAACCTGCCCGTGTAGTGACGACGTATATATGCTACTCCTACGAAACAGTTTGTCACAGCCCCTCCCTCGTTTGTTGTCTTCTTCTCTTCTCCCTCCCTCTCTGCCTGCGGTTTATCATGCAGTTCTGTTTGACGATATATCATATATGTATAATTTAAACAAGAACTTCAAGAAGGAATATTCTTCACGATATCCTTTTTGTACATCATAAAGAAATAAATCCTTTATGTTATTATCTTCATAAAGGATTATTCTGGAAAGAAGTCGCCACATCGGTGTCGCAACTCAAAAGAATTTATTTTTTATTTCAATGGCAATGACAATAGGAAGCAAGGCTTTATTTAAGGCGGAGCGAATCCTGAAACATTGCCTCAGTTCGGATTGTTCTCTGCAACTCGAGAACATGAAGTTGGAACCGCTTGCTAGTAATCGCGGAGGATCAGCGTGCCGCGGTGAATATGTACTCAGGCCGTGTACACGCCGCCCGTCACACCATGGGAATTTCTTTTGCCCGAAATCGTCTGTATGATAAACCAATGACTTTCAATAATAATCATCAAATAAATTGAAATAATATTTAAAAAAATTTCAATTATTCGTCACATAAAGATTTCTTCGGTGATACCTTTTCTCGCCCTTTTGGCTAAAAATGAGATTCAACTGCGGAATCGTCCCGGTTGATGTGGAGAGGTGCAACGCGATGTACCCCCATCGATTCACCTGTGGAATCGGAATTGGCGATTTGAAATGCCATCGATTGACGTGGCTAACAATAGATATAAAGCCGTTTCTGACCTGTTTCTGACCGCCTTTTGACAGACTTCTGACCTGTTTCTGACCTGTTTCTGACAGGCTTCTGACAGGCTTCTGGCATGCTTCTGACTTGTTTCCGACAGGCTTCTGACAGGCTTCTGACCTGTGTTCTGACCTGTGTTCTGACCTGTTTCTGACAGGCTTCTGGCAGGCCTCTGACCTGTTTCTGACCTGTTTCCGACAGGCTTCTGACAGGCTTCTGACCTGTTTCTGACAGGCTTCTGACCGGCTTCTGACCTGTTTCCGGCAGGCTTGTGACCTGTTTCTGACCTGTTTCTGACCTGTTTCTGACCTGTTTCTGACCTGTTTCTGACAGGCTTCTGACAGGCTTCTGACAGGCTTCTGACAGGGTTGTCGTCTTTGGTGATCGTCGGTTAGGCTTTCTCTGTTGGGGGGTGTTTGATACCGGGAGGAGTGATAGTGATATTGATCGGCAGAGGGTTACTTACAGAACCGTGCAGAGTGATATTGCCTTCGCTTAGGTCGCGTGTTGGATCGCACTTCTCAAGTTCTCTACGAGGGAGAGATGGAAAATCATGGAATGTAGAAATAGGTTTTGCTTTGTCTTTTCTTGGTCCCCTGGCCGGGGGCCAGTGCTTGGAAAGGGCGGAGGCTTCCTTACTGTATCTCGCTTAGGCCGTAGACTGCTCTGCTGATTTGCAAAAGGTCTGAGGATCCAATCGGAACGACTCTACCATCTTCACCCGAATAGAACGCCGGGTCATTATCACTGTATCTAGACTGAAAGTTGCATCAAATACAGCTATAATGACCGAGCGTTCTATTCGGGTGAAGACGGTAGGTTTTGCTTTTCTGGTCCCCGGGCCCAAAATGACCAGTCCTTGGATTGGTTTGGTTTTCGCCTTTGTCGTTTGTGTGACACTTTTTGAGCCCAAACCAATCCGGTACTGGGACCTTGGTTTGGTTTGGTTTAGGGCTGGGTTGGGTTGGGTTTGGGTTGGGTTGGGTTGGGTTGGTTTGGGTTGGATTAGCTCCTCCGCTGGGCCCCGGTCTCAGTACCGGTACCGGAAAGTACGCATTGTGACGAAGAGGGATTAGTGACCTGCTGTGCCATAACATAGAACGATCGAGTATTACTCTGCCTCTGCCTTGCGCTAATCATTACAAGTTGGCGGATCAGTAGAAAACAGTCAAACCCAATGATCCGCCACCTTCCGTAAGTGGGTTCTGAAGCATGTAGGTGGATCATTTGGTTCGAGTCCCGTTTGACCCATACTTGCGCCGCATAGGTGAGCTGTGTGCTGCGCAGTGCGCTGCACTGATGGGCTGATGCGCGAAAAGTAAAAGAAAAAAAATAAATAAAAAGAAAATTAGTGCTGAGGCTGCTGAGTTATTAAGTTACCACCCCATAAAAATTTACCAACCCATAAAAATTTACCACCCCTTAAAAAAAAATTAGTGTGGACTCTGTGGAGTTAGTAAGCCAGAAGTTATGGGTTGCTAACTTACTAACTCGGCACAACTTTGCGCGTGTCTTGAGTTTATCCGAGTCAGCGTTGTGTGTCTCGAGTTTATCGGAGATACACATGTGTCGTTTTGTCTCAAGTGTACGCTATGTGTTTCTACTTGTTGTTGTGAGTCTTGTGACAATGTTGTCACATAATTCCTGGTTTTTTTTTTCGTCTTCTTTTTTGGGCGACTCCTTTCACGATATACATAATGTGTGGTGTGAGACTTGTAAGGGGGGGGGGGGGGGGGGGGGGAGAGGAATAACGAGGATGATGGACTAATCTGCTCGGTTGATGATCTTTTCGGTTGATGATCTGATGGTTGATGATCTGATGGTTGATGATTGGATGGATGGGTGCAGGCATTTAATGTGCTCAGATATGAGTTAGGGCAGAAGTACGATGCCCACTATGATACATTCAATCCAGCTGAGTATGGGCCTCAAAAGAGCCAGAGAGTGAGTGGATCACCTACCCTCACAAAACTCTCTCTCTCTCTCTCTCTCTCTCTCTCTCCCCAAAACTCTCTCTCTCTCTCTCTCTCTCTCTCTCTCTCTCTCTCTCTCTCTCTCTGTGTGTGTGTGTGTGTGTGTGTGTGTGTGTGTGCACGTTTGTTTGGGGGAGTGGGGTCTAGGATGTGGTTCATAGTACTTCATACCTGTTGATTGGTTCCATCACCATGTTCACGCTTCCTGGCATGATGGTTGCTCTTGCGTTGTGCGTTGTGTTTCCTACCTACCTATTGCTTCCTACCTACCCATTGGTTCCTACCTACCTACCCATTGGTTCCATGCAGAGTTGTCTCTGCTTCCTTGCATTAGCAAATTGCTATTGCTGGGTTGTATCGGCTTCCTTGCATCCACAACGCACGACGCCATATGCCATTATGCCATATGCCAGCAGTCCCAAGGTGATGGTGTTTCACTTGTTTGTTTGTTAAACTTTGTTTGTTTTTTTTCATTTTTTTTTTTTTCATTTTTTTTTTTTTCATTTTTTTTTCCCCCCCCCAGGCTCCCAGTGCAAGTAAAGGTTAAGGTTGTGGATTGCACGCAAATGTATTCTCTCTCTCTCACTACTGAAAGGGCTCATATTGTAATAATAATAATAATAATAATTAAAAAAAAAAAAACGTTGTCTCTCTCTTGAAAGCGCCAACACTGTTAAGGGGTAAAACAAAAAGAAGAAGAAAAAAAAAGAACACGTTTTCTCTCTCTGTTGAGAGCGTTAACATAGTCATCCTCCTCCTCCTCCTCCTCCTCATCATCATCATCGCTGTTGTAATGTTTGATGTCTTCTTTTGCAGATAGCAACTGTGCTACTCTATTTGAGCGATGTCGAGGAGGGAGGAGAGACGATGTTCCCATATGAGGTATGGGCCCTATGGGACATATGAAAGGACCACTTGGGACCGGGGATAAGGGCCCGGACTGAAACTCAACCCCCCCCCCCCCCCCCCCGCCCCGAGAATGGATGGGACACGTGTTGTTTGTTAAATCACCCCACCACCTTTCCAAGCTGTAGTCCCATTTGGGAAAATTGACGTCATACGAAAAGTTTGGGGGTCCGGTGTAGGGTCGGCAGGAAAGGGAAAAAAAAAAAAAAAAAAAATATTGGGACCCCGCGGGCCATCGGCAAGGTAAAAAGTAAAATAAAAAAAAAGTTAAAAATGCTTAGAATGTCGAATCCGACGACGTTGTGAAGGCCCTCACGGTGGTGGAAGTCACACCAGTGCCTTGAGGAGGAACGTATCTGGCCGCTGTGTTGGAGAATGTCATTTCATTAGTTCTTGGTTTTGTTTTCGTTGTTCTCGTTTCTTTGTCCTTGTCCTTACAGCGAGGCAGGGCGGTTTCACACCAGTGCCTTGAGGAGGAATGTACCTGGCCGCTGTGTCGGGGAATGTCATTTCATGAGTTTTTGGTTTTGTTTTCAACTTCTCATTGTTCTCTTTTCTTTGTGCAGCGGCTCTTGCACTTCCAGCGAGGCAGGAAACTTTCTCGCTTACGACGGATGTCAGCACTGTAGTTTCTGTAGAATCTGTACTCACATCAGCAGTTTAGCTTCTGTATCAGGCCGTGTTTGCAGCATAAAGGGAAGTTTTCGGTCTTCTTTTTTGCCTTCATTTGTTTTCATAGGCGAAGGCCCTCGTAGAGGTGAAAGTGCTACCAATGACTTGAGGAATGTACGTCAGCAGTATGTGTGGATTGTGATTGCTTATGTTTCGAATTTTGTTTTTGTTGTTTTCGTTTCTTTTTTGTGCCCTGCCAGTGGGGCAGGGCGGATTAAACCCCCGGGGAGAGGGGGGGAGGGGGG